AAAAAAAAAAAAAAACCTAAAGAATCTTTTCAATGACATAATTTTTTTCAGAGTCCATTTTTTTTTAGAATAAAAGAAACTTCAACTTACTCCATTTAGAGTAATGAAGTAAAATGTAAGATCCCAAAGAAGCGCCAAATGTTGCAAAGGGAGAAGAAAAATTAACAAATTAGGCAGTTCATTGTTTCTTAAGAAATATTATTTCAGCAAAACATACTTGATGTATAAATTTTTTTTAATGGTACTGGGGATCAAACCCAGGACCTCACACTTGCTAGGCAAGCGTTCTACCACTGAACCATATCCCCAGGTCTCTTATTTTTTTTATTTTGAAACAAGGACTCGATAAATTGCCCAGGCTGGCCTCAAAATTGCAATCCTCCCACCTCAGCCTCCCAGTAGATGGGATTACAGGGGTGTGCAACATACCCAGCATATATCCATTTTTTCTTTTAGGTGTTCATAGATCTTTATTTATTTATTTATTTATTTATTTATTTATTTATTTATTTATATGTGGTGCTGAGAATCGAACCCAGTGCCTTATACATGCTAGGCAAGTGCTCTACCACTGAGCTACAGCCCGAGCCAGCATATATCCATTTTTATAATGCAAGCCCTATAAAGCAAGCCCCCACAGCGCTACATGGCCTTCAGCCCACTGTTCATTCAGAAGCCTCACCACATTGTTCTTTCTTTCTTTCTCTTTCTTTCATACATTAATGTTGCCCAGTCAGACCTCCTGGGCTCAGACAATCCTGCCTGAAACTCCTGAGAAGGTGGGACTAGAGACTCCACCAGTGTGCCTGGCATTTAGGGGTAGTGCATGCTAGGGATGGAACCCTGGGCCTCCAGCATACTAGTCTCACCAAGTTGCCCAGGCTCTGGTGCTGAACTTGAGCCTTGTATGACTCAGCCTCCCAAGGAGTTGGAACTATACCACACTTGGCCAGACCTTAATTTTTTAATGTAATCTCTTTAACAAAGACCATAAGCACATATTTTTGCAAAGAGGTGTTTGTCTAAAAACCTGCCTCCCTCACTAAATTACAATTTAGTTTCCATAACTCTCCTGTAAACACATAGTAATACCACCCACTTATGTGTTGAGGAGGAAGAAAATTATCTTTATAGCTGGTCCAGTGTATGCTCAAAAAGGTTAGTCCCCCTCCCTGTGATGAATCCAGCCTAATTCCATTTTAAGATTGGGAGCCATATTGTCACAAAGTCATGAAAAGTTAATTTCTGTTTTAC